AATGATAAACATGGAAGGTAGTACTACTGCCTAAAATAACAAAAACAGATGATTAACTTGGAAGGTAGTACTACTGCCTAAAATATCAAAACAGATGATTAACTTGTAAGGTAGTACTACTGCCTAAAATATCAAAACAGATGATTAACTTGTAAGGTAGTTCTACTGCCTAAAATATCAAAACAGATGATAAACTTGGAAGGTAGTTCTACTTCCTAAAATATCAAAACAAATGATAAACTTGTAAGGTAGTTCTACTGCCTAAAATATCAAAACAGATGATTAACTTGGAAGGTAGTTTTACTGCCTAAAATATCAAAACAGATGATAAACATGGAAGGTAGTTCTACTGCCTAAAATATCAAAACAGATGATAAACTTGGAAGATAGTTTTACTGCCTAAAATATCAAAACAGATGATAAACATGGAAGGTAGTTATACTGCCTAAAATATCAAAACAGATGATAAACATGGAAGGTAGTTCTACTGCCTAAAATATCAAAACAGATGATAAACTTGGAAGATAGTTTTACTGCCTAAAATATCAAAACAGATGATAAACATGGAAGGTAGTTATACTGCCTAAAATATCAAAACAGATGATTAACTTGGAAGGTAGTTCTACTGCCTAAAATATCAAAACAAATAATAAACTTGGAAGGTAGTTTTACTGCCTAAAATATCTAAACAGATGATAAACACAGAAGGTAGTTCTACTGCCTAAAATATCAAAACAAATAATAAACTTGGAAGGTAGTTTTACTGCCTAAAATATCTAAACAGATGATAAACATGGAAGATAGTTTTACTGCCTAAAATATCAAAACAAATGATAAACTTGGAAGGTGCACTACTGCCTAAAATATCAAAACAGATGATTAACTTGTAAGGTAGTTCTACTGCCTAAAATATCAAAACAGATGATAAACTCAGAAGGTAGTTTTACTGCCTAAAATATCAAAACAAATGGCTCTCCTCCAGCAACATGAAGTAGTAACATAATTATCCAGATTCTGTTCAGATAACTTTCCTTCACTTCAACAACAGCTTATAATGTTTATTCTGATTTGAATTCCATTGATTACATCACTTACCGTAGTGAGGCGGTTGACGACCTCCATAGAGTGTAGGGACATCTCCATATTCACCAAAACGGAAAAATACCTGTAGAAAGATAACAAACACACAACATCCCAATCAAAAAGGAATTAAATTTGGACCTTTTTTTTTTATTGATTAGCAAACTAAGAATGTGTAAACATAAACAAAGTTTTCTGTATCAAACATTAGTGTTGTATCAGACGATTAAATCTCATCAAATTACTTACTCAGTAATCTGATTTGACTGCATCAGTCTCAGTAACACTTCTATTGCTACCAGAGGATTCTTCTCCACCAAGTCAGGCAGCTGTAAAACAACAGGATTATAAAGTGAGAATTGGTATACTAGCTCTACCTGTAATTTAAGAATACATTTACAGATACTAGTCACACAGGACCTTTGAAAATAACAAAGCTTTTAAATACTCTAACATTGAATTGAGATTGAAGATTTGTTCTATGTGTGAGGGATTAAAGGTATAAGAATATATCACTAAAGTGCCCAAAACATTGACACTGCGAACACCTATGCAGCAGTCTACAGTAGCTCCAGTGAGAATGTGGTAGCCTACCCATGATGGGGTCAATTTATATCAAGTCTATCTTATCAGAGACAATATTTAGTATAGCCTACCTTAGCTGGTGTTAGACCTATATGATAGACAAGTTTAGGGTCCTTTTCCAGTTCCCCTAGGAGCTGTTGCTGTTGTGTCAGGATTAGGGGACCTTTAAAAGCCTTTGACATCAGCCTCTTCACCTCAAAGCCCGCAGAACTGCTCACACACATTGTAGTATCCCATGCGATATTGTAGTCTCCCTCAACTGGGCTCAGCCAACACAGCTATCAGCAACATAGAAATGGTCAATTAGGATTAATTCAATAGAATCACTACAGCTAAAACAGTATATTGGAGATTTCAGTATACAGAGTATAGGAATGACTAGCTTTATATGACCTTTGAAATAGATAAGTAGCAATTAACCAGATGGTTTGGTCCGAGCAGCAACTCATTGACCGATAGCTGGCTGAGACAGCTGACTGATCTCAAATGAAAATAGGTTAGGAGGGCTGTTCTTGGAATAGTGTGTGATAAGGTGTTATGCTACACTTAAGTTTATGGAGGTGATGCTGAAGCTTGGTTTAGTTCTGATAGGTGAACAGCCCTTTGTCTGCCTGTTATAAGCTTGGTTTGGTTCTGTTAGGTCAACAGCCCTTTGTCTGCCTGTTATAAGCTTGGTTTGGTTCTGATAGGTGAACAGCCCTTTGTCTGCCTGTTATAAGCTTGGTTT